TTGTAGACGAGGTTAACTAGGAAAAGTAACATCAATATCACTGACTTGTTACATCCTGCTATATCGTAAGGACCCGTAAGCAAACAAAATGTTCTGCCACACGGACATGGATAGATTGAGGTTATCGCCCCACCGTCATGAATGCTGGTCAGATACACCACCCTCCCTCCTTTTGTGATGTTAGGCTCTCTTACATCTAATGGTTAATTGTAAATAATGGTCTCTAGTCTACACTCAATCTTTTTTTTGTACACCTTATCGAAATTTACACTCTCTACTAGCTCCAACATTACAAGCAATCCAGACAACTTTGCCAGACAAAATATCCACGTAGCGTATCACACTGATTTTAAGTAAACTAATGGTACAATTTGTAAGATGTGTCAGTTAATACGTAGTTTGGAGATAAGAAGGACATGGAGCTGGGTAGAGGAAAAAGAAAAAAAGGGTTGAAATAATGTTAAAAATTGATGAGTAAAGAGATTAGCTGGTAAGCAGGCAAGGTGTTTGCATGTTAATGAATTGGGGAAATAAAAATTAGTTACACTGTTAATACTTAAATAAGAAGATACTCACAATGATACACGGTGTTTGAGTTCCTTGTAATTGACAGTAGTTGAACAGCATCTACAGGCTTTTCAATTTGTCTGTCTACTAGAAATAAAAACTAAAACTGCTTTGAAGATATGAAAATAATAATGGGAATTTAAATTCAGAGAAAAGTCACGTGTAACACTTCAAAGGCGTAACCTATTACTGTTAGTAGGAGCAATGGGAATTGGTCTAACATTTCATGATACATCTATGGGTGGTAATGAGAACACAATGTGTTCATAGTCTATAATTCGTTTCCGAGGTTTATCTAAATATTTGGTGGACCATAAAAGAGTGCCTGGGGACTTTGTGTGAGTTCCGGGAATAGTCGATATATCTCTTTAGAGTCTAGCAACAGCATGACTAGTTTCTTGAACTTAGTGATTGTGTCACAAATACGGATAGTAATTGGTAACCTGTTCCACAGTAGACTGTATCGTATTAGAAAGAAATTACAACGAAACGATTTTTTCTTTTTTGACGTTAATAGTGTATATGCGTTGATTACAAGTCTGTAAGCATTGTCGTGGTTCATAATTGGTCAATATT